CAATCTTTCATAGGATCTTTGAACACACATCCGTATGGCTCCTGTTGGTGCTCTCCATTCCAATGAGTCACACATGTTGATACCTTTCATAGTTACCCCAGGGACTATTCTCTGGCTAGTAAGACTCTGGGGTCCTGAAGGGAAAGAGCAGGCCCTGCCACGTCAGCCTGCAGGAAGAAACATTCCTTTTTGAGTCAAACTATCCTAGCCATGGCTCCTTTTGAAGTTAGGATAAATTCAACAGCAGTCTTCATCATTAGCTGGTCTACACACTGGACTTGAAAAAAAATGAGTATTTTAAAAGCGCTAGAGGAGGAATTGTGTAAGCCTTCAATGCACAGGGAAAAGAAGCCCACACATACCCTATTGATTGTCAACATATGTTTGGCAAGGAGAAGTTTTTGAAAAGTCTTCTAATGGTGCATGTACCCAACCAATCTGGCTTTATCGACTGGTATGCTAATGTGTGTTTATGACTATATACAAAGGGGTGTGTGTTTAATTGCTACTAGATCTTCTATGGATGAAAGCATAAAGCCATGCACAAACCAGAAAAATATTATCTGTTGTGGTTCATGCCAACTACGAAATGGAAGGGAGCAGCCTCACCAGGCTTGCTGCCTAAGCGTTGTTGCTCCAGAAGAGATGAGCCAACAAATAGGGTGAGTGGGTGAGTGAGTGAGTAGGTGCCTAGATTTTAAGCAGGGTTTACTCCACTCAAAGGAGCTTCAGCCAAAGAGAGCCACTCCTCTTCCCCCACACCACCGCCAATGTGATCTCCAAGGAGAACTGGACCAAGAGTCTCACAAAGGCAGGCATGCACTCAAGGGAGGGGAAAGGCTAGACTCTGAAGCTACCCATGCCAACTGAGAGAACAAGGTTCCTTTTTAGCTTAGCCCACCATCATCAAAGCAGGTCTTTCTTATCAACGCTCGGGCTTCGAGCCTGCCACCCTGCAGAAGATGCCTTCTTATCTGATTAGATAGAATATTATGCTAACTATTCAGCCACCAGCACTGGCTGTGTGGGTGTGCGGGATAAAATCTTCATGAACACGCCTTCACCGGGTCATTTGTTTAATTTCAATTCTGCAGAATGTAAAAATAGAACAAGCTGCTGTGAGGGGTTGAGACTTGACAGCTTCAGTGCCCAGCTTCCCAATCACAAAAGCCATGCTGTTCTGCTGGCTCCTTTGCTCCCTTTCTCCACCAGAGGAAAAGGGGAGCAAGAAGACCTGCCAGCAAGGTGCTGCCTCTGCTATCTCTGCTCTTTTCACTTCTTTGACTTTTCCTTGCACATCCTTTCCACATTGTCCCCTCGGTCCATCTGCTTCCTCTTCTTCCTCGCTTCTCTCCTTCCTGCCTTTGCTCCCTCCTTTCCCACCCCCTCCCTCCTTTCATCATCTCTATATGCCATTTTTCTTCCCCTTCTCCTTCCATGTCTCCAGCACCCTCATCTGGCCTGCTCTGGTCTTTTGGAGCAGCCTACCTCCAGATGTGTTGGGTCTCGCAGACTTCTCTAAAAATTGCCCTCCCCAACCTCGGTCCTTGACTCCTTCCTTCCCCCTTCCCCCAGCACAGACTCTCAAGATGCCTGGAAAGGTGACACTTCTGAGCTCAATCAGATCGAATGGCAGCTGAGCTGTAGGAGCTGTCTTTTCATACCCCCTCTTCTAGCTGAATATGTTCTGCATTCAACAGGTGTAGCAGTGCATGGTGGGAGGGGAACAGGCAGGTGGTACATCATTAGTCTTGTGTTCCGAACAAGTCGATTTTTCTGAAGGCTTTTAACAAACTAAAGGCTCAACTCGCACTCTCCAGTTCTGAGCCCTGAAGTCCACCACTGTCTCCAAATTAATTCTATTATTATCCTGCCTCAGAAAAGAGAGACTCCTTCTCCAGAAGCCCCAGAGCTGTAGAAAAGCCCCACAAGGATGCTGAGAGGGGAGATGCTACCTCCTTGGTACCTTTGATACCTCAAGCAGGTCCTGCCATCTGACCAGGTTTCAAACAGATGGAATCAAGTTGTTCAAATCTACCGTTACAGCTGGCGAGAGAAACTTAGCATGCCAGGAATAAGGTCTTTGTTGATGGTGCCTATGAGCCATAGGTGATATTCTTCTCTACTAGTGCAGATCCCTGGAGGCCTTTTCCCTAAAGGCAAAACTTTCTGTTGATTTGAGGAATGTCTTCAACTAAGGGTGACTACCAGATCGCTCTTTGGTTCAGAAAAGCCAAACTTACTAGGACTTAAATTCTTGGGGTCTGGTAGCTATCTTACAGACCCATACATCAGACCCCTGCCAGGTGTTCCCTTCATCTAGCAAATTCTCTTTTCACACATGTACGCTAATTGAGGTGTTGGCACATTAAGATGACCCTCCAAAAAGGATGCACGTCTCCAAGGTCCCATTTCCCAAGATGCACCTCTTCCTTTCCTGTCTGAGACATTGATTTTCTATCTCTTTCCTCTTTAGCAACATCTATTCATTGTGGTTGTGCAGGGCTCACTCAACATTTATGAAGAAGATGGGCTCCAGGAGCTTGCTTTAGATTCCAGAGCCTTACGCATCAAAATAAAGAGCATATGAAATATAGCAGTCGAAAGACTAATGCGTTGCCTTTGCTTCATGTGAACTGGGGTGATAAATCAAGTAGAGAATTTAGTGATTTTATTATCATTTCAAGAATGACTATGATTGTGGTGAATGTGGTCCCTAGTGTACTGGGAGAAAGGAGCAGAAACGAGAAAGAGATTCCAATTAAGCAGAAAGATGCCTGGGAACTAAAAGGAGAAGAGCAGAAAGGGCAACAGACCCCCCACGTGTAAGTACCACCTTCACCAGGGCATGTGCAACGGGCGATCATTTGTAGCCGAACTGTAGATGGCTGCCCAGAGCCACAAACAGCTGGGAACCGCTTGCCACCTGTGCAAAAGCAGAGGCAATGGGAGCAGAGACCTGCAGCTGGAGCCCAGCTGCTGCCCTGGGGGTGGCGATTTCAGCTGTAAGTCTATAGACTGTAGAAGTGTCAGATGGGAGTCTATGTACCCCAGGCTGATCTCTGAGGATATTAGGCGATGGCTACAGCCCAAGAGCGAAGGTTGGAAGATGACAGCAGAGACTGACACTGTCTCCTTATAAAGATGTGATTTTATTCAGGATCTGTGATCCTTGAAGACAGCCGAGCAAGCAGACAGTAGTTGGCAAGCACGGGGTGGGGGAGGGGCTGGTGGTGCCAAAGTCAAACTGAGAGGTACAAGGGCGTCCAGTTTGGCCACATTCTGATCAGTTAGTTGCTTGTAATATTTTCATTTCAACAGGAACACTAATGCCTAGCCTCAAACCTATAGGCCCACGTGACATTCAAGTAAGTATAGGAAACCAGAATGTTCCTATACCCTTTTGAGACCCCTGAATCACTGTGATTCTGGCAGAACCATCCACCCAAGTTGCAGGTTGAGGAAGAACTTAAGAGAAGATCACGATTTGAATCCAGAGAAGACGCGCTGAGCTTGAAGATCCCATGCATCAGCAAAAGCGACTAACGAAGTGTTCTGTGGAGCCATGAAGCTGGCCTGGCTAGGACAGAGATATGCTACGCATTAGAGATGTGATCTTCAAGCAAGGCACACAAGTGGGAGGGGCAGTTTGAAAGGGGGAATGATGTTCCTCTCAACCAAAAACCAAGACTAGATGGCTCAGTAAGAATCCACAGTACTTTGCTTTGCCGTCCAACCTTATAAATGCTGGGTAGGAGGTATTTTTGTGCTATGACCCTTCCTAATAAGCTGCTATAGCAGATTAGAGCCAAAGCGGGCCCTGGAGGAGGAGGGAGAAATGCAGTGTTTTCCATTTGTGTCCAGTTACCCCGAATTTCCATGGAGGGGGCTCCAGCTAAGGTCTGCCCCTCCTGAAAAGCTCCAAGGCAGGAACATAGTCACATAGGTCTTGACAAAAGAGAGAGCTCAAGCCCCTGCACCCATCTCTTTGTCTTTTGCCTAGAGTGGTGGGAGTTTTGCATCTGCTGCTGTCATAAAAACATTTGATTTTATTTTTTTTCACAAGCCTTTAGAAAATTATTTACTTGGTGAAAACATTTAGGCGTTCTTCCAAGCGTGTGATATGTACAGGGGCTAGGCCCGGGGTTGAGTTATTACAGATGCACCCCAAATCACAACCTGGGTGCTTGCACTTGGCTGTCTGGTCCTATGTTACCTTAAAGGCACAGGGCCCATCTTGAGGAGCTGTGTGGAGAAAGAAGTTTCTCCAGGCATGTGGCTGACTGATTTGGTCAAATAGGTCTGGGCCCTTATAACTTCATTCTAAAGGCCACACCTTCTCACCTCTCCCTCTGTGCACGTCAAATCCATGCTTTTCCTGGAAGGATTAGAGACTTCATGAATTCCTAGGTCTAAGTCAGGGGAGCCTTCAATTGCTAAGCTTTGTACCTCTACCCCATGGAGGGATGAGTGAAGCTCAAGTCTCCCTAGTCTTGGTGGGTATGCTGTCTTCCTGCCAAGTCTTGAACTTGAACCGTGCTGTTACAATGAGCGTAAGATGGATGGGGTGGCCTGGTGGAATAGGCTCTGCCCAGAACAAGGAAAGCCAATGTTCCCAAAACTTTGCCAGAAAGGCAGAAAGAAGCAGACCCAATCTCCACACCCAAACCTTCCTCTCTCCACTTGCTCAGTGCACATCCCCAGCACTGAACGAAGAAAGAAGCCAGCTGGCCACCTCCGGAAATTGATGAGGCGACCTAGCTCAGTGGTTTCCTGGGGACACCAACTCTGGGTGTTTGGACATCGCAGCTGGGCCACAATCCATGTTAATAGCTTTACCATGCCCTCAGGCAACTTTGATGCTGTGCTAAGCAAGCTGGGAACCGACCCCCTCCCCACCTCCACCCCAGTATTTCCCCAGTTCCAGAGGACTCCCTTGTCCTCAGCCTGGAACCCAGGTGCGTTCCTCCTGGGACTTGGGTAGATCACGAAGTTCTTACCTAGGTCTGCTGGGGAAGCTGTTCATGTGAATCCCAAGGCGGAGCGGTCAGCGTCCGGGACACACCAGCGGTTGGCTACTGCTCAGCACATCTCTCTGCGGGCCTGGCTTTGCAAACAGGAGAGCCAGTCCCATCAGAAGCAGGGGAGCAGGGGCGCGCTGCCTTTGGACCCTCCGACTCAAGCCTTTGATCCAGTCGGAGGCACCTCCAGCAGGTGAGTGCGGTGGCGGGTTCCGGGTCCCCCTCCGCACTGGGACAGCCTCGGGCTCAATGAGGGCGGGATCGCACTGCACAAGCTAGTGGAACTCCCCTGCCAGCGCGCTCTCGGCTCCCCTAGTCTGGGTGACTAGGTGTTACCGCAGCGCGATCCCTCTTTCTATATATATCCACGGCCCCCTCCCTGCTCGCTGTGCTGTGGCTCGATGTCGGTGTTGTCCCCGACTGCACCTGGGTGGTTTCCGCTCGCGCCTCCCGCCTCTGTCCCTCTCCGCTCTTCTCCCGTTCTGTTCTCTTCTCTCTCCTCCCCTCGCTCTCCCCCTCCGGGAGAAGTCTGGGTTCTCCCTATATTGCCACACTCCCGACACTTAGCACTGCAGTGGAGCTCGACACACGACCAGGCGGTTCCTTTAAAATCCAACTGCTTGGTTCAAATCAGAGCATCAAGTTAGTGCCGAAACCAACGCCAGAAGCGCCACTGCGCTGTGTTTAGGATGTAGCAGCCTCTGCTGGGAAAAGGATGCTGGTATTTCATGGGAAGCGATGGGAAAGGGTGCTGAGAAGAGGTATGGCCGAAGTCCACAGGTGACCTGCAGGATCTTCAGGACCCTGTGGCATCCATACTGACTAGGATTAAAATCAAGTTATTAAAACCAAAGAATTGCTAGGTTCAAAGCTCTTAATTAACACCCTAAGAAAACGGAAGCTCAGAGAGGGCCATTGAATGCCAGGAACACACAGCTAGCTAGAAAAGTCCAGAGTTCTACCATTGTCCAAAGCATCCAGACTCCCACAGCCGAAAAAGAACGTGTTTGTCCGGGACTGAGTGTGGATGTGACCCCAAAGGTCCCCACACAAAGTCCATTCTTTGCGAGCTGTCTGAACCTCTATGGAAGGTACAGTAAGAGGTTGATGGGTTAACATGGCCTCTCATCAAAACCATTTCTAAATCACCTCTACCCTTTCTTCCAGCAAGCCCCCGAGGATGACAGACACCAAAGGTGAAGCGACTTGAAAGAAAGAAATGACAAATCCCTTTCCATCGCAGGCCTCCGGGCACCCAGCTCACAAGATCTACTTCAGAAAACCATTTCCACGTATTTTCCGCTCTCCTCTCCAGTCCTCATGTCGGCCCGACCGCGCTGTAACACAGATATTTCCATATTACTCGCAAAGGAGAGTGCACCTGGTTAGCTTCTGTCACCTATACCAAAGTGCTTCCTGGCAGTGTGGGCTCACACATCAAAGGGCTTTCTGGTTGGAACCCCTAGGGCAGCAGCGTTGACTTCTCTTTCCTGGAAGATGCTATTATCTTAAGCAGAAACCGATCTCTCTCACAAAATCCCTCATGGGCATTAATCTCCTCCCTCTGAAAAAAAACGTTCCTTGGGTCTAGGGTATCTGAGCCCCTGAGCACAGATTCTGACGCCAGGCAAACAGTCATCGGCTTGATCTCTTTGGAGAAGGCTGGATGCTGGCTCCACCATTCTGAACACTGAGATAACTCATAGACTACGGGAGCTTCCTCTGGAGTTACACTACACACCAAGAGTCACGCCGCTGTTGCATGTGGCCTTTGAGATGCAGAGCCCAGGATAGGAGATAGATCTCTGAGTTTCAAATGGTACGGTTGCTCTACCGGAACCCCCAGCTTCTTGACTCAATTAGCTTATGGCTGTGTCTGTGTCTACAAGACTCGGGAGAACATCTGTGTCAGTTCTGGGAATTGAAAATGAAAACCTCAGGAATAGAATCTCTCTCTTAACCTCTTCATCACTGGTTACCAGATGTGTCACCCTGCGCAAGCTCTTTGGCTTTGTCAAGTCTCGTAGGCTTGACAAGGTTAATGGAGCAACTGTAGGTCATCTGGCACTTGGCAAATGGAGAATACATTTCAATTCCCTTCCTTCTCTTTCTAAATTGCCCCAAATCTCTCTCCTGTAGAGGCATCCCCACCTCAGCCCAATCACCCATGGTCTGATTCATCTTCTTCTCAAGATCTTGTTATATTAGCGTGGCTCATTTAAATAGATTTACATGTTTTACGCATTCCTTTTCTCAATTAGCAGAAATGAATTAGACATTTGTTTTATTGTGGTGACTTAGAGCCTCACCCACACTGAGTGAGCACTGTAGCTCTGGGCTGTGTCCCCAGCCCTTACCCCACCCATTCGAGGCAGGCATGACACTCCTCTTCCAACACACTTGCATCTATTTTATCTAATTCTGAATTCCCTAGACCTAGGCATGCCTTTTCCATGATTTGATCTCTCATCACAGCCCATGGATGCATCCATGGTTCTAAGTGTATTGAGGTAGAAGGAGGTCTAGAAGTTGTGGAAGTCAGTTTTCTTACTTCACAGCTTGGAGCAGACTTGCATGCACTGATAAAAGTGGACTCGCAGCTGTGCCTTGTTTCTTTATCTCTGCATGGAAAACACTGTCCCTTGGTGTCTGTTCTATCTAGTTTGTTGCGTATTGATAGATGACACTCAAACAACGGGTGTGACAACTGATTGGGAAATAAGGAGTTAAGTCCGCTTCAGCCTCCCCTGCTTAGACCCAGGGCCAGTCCTTAAGGGCTTGGGCTATACAGGACTGGGATTAGAAGCATAGACTATAGTGTTAGCTGCCACCAAGTGTTATCTCGTCTCCATTTCTCAGTAGCTGCAGGATATTGGACAAGCTGCTTAACCTCTTAAGCTTTCAGCCCTTTCATTTGTAAAAATCAACATGATTACACTGGATAGAAATATTATTTGTCTCAAATCCCTAACACTGAGTAAACACTAAAATGCTACTAGTCATGGGGCTGGAGGGATGGGTGAGCAGTCAAGAGTCCACACTGCTCTTGCAAAGGTTCCAGGTTCGATTCCAAGTACCCAGATGACTGCTGATAACAGTTACTCCAGTTCCAGGAACTCCTCCCTGAGCACTTCACTCTCATAGTATACATACACACTCACAGGCCAGGCCCTCACATATATGCAAATAGATAAATAAAAATTGTAAATCTCTAGTAGCCTTGTGAAGAGTGACCGCAGTGGTAGAGGAATAGCTGTAGCACACAGCCGAACAAGCACAACTCGATGATGGCGTTGACTTTTATGATCCTAAAGCTCCTAGGACGTGGAATGTAGAAACTCCGGCCTTCTTTGTGCTCTCTCCTCAAGCTGTGGGAAGCCTGTCCTCGGACTTCCAAGAGCTGTTGTGCTCTCCCGTGCTGGGAGGAAGCGAATAACAGTTTGAGTAAGTTCTGAAGTATCTCTATAGTGCATATTTCGGCACATACTCAAAAGATGAGCAAGAAGAATGTTAATCATTTCAACACTAAAAGCTTCCTTTAGCTGAGCAGCCACTAAAGACCGGCACTGCTCTAAGTGATTGGTGCTCATTGTCCATCTATGTCGGGATCTAGCCACAGTCTTTTAAAAATGCTTTCTTTAGTTTAGTTTGGGGAGCAAATTGTGGGGGGGGATGCATGTGTGTGTGTGTGTGTGTGTGTGTGTGTGTGTGCACTTGCACACCTGAGTGTGTGTGGCATCTATGTCCGAGGCATGCGTGTAGATGTGTGGATGCACAGGTCCCTGAGTTTATAAGTGGAGCCTGGGGAGGGTGTCAGGCATCGTCCTCTATGGTTCTCTGCTTATTCCCTTGAGACAGTGTCTCTCACTGGACCACGAGTGTGTTGTTTTGATTAGGCTGGCTGGCCAGCAAGCTGTCAAGGTCTACTTGCTTCTGCCTATGAACTCTGAGGTTTGAGGCATACGCAGCCATGCCTAGCTTTTTATGTGGGTTCAAGAGGTTCTAACTGAGGCATTCAAGCTTGTCCAGCAAGTACTGGTCTTCGCTGAACCATCTGCCAGTTCCCTTTCTCTTTACCAGTACTTACAGAAGAAGGTATTCACACCCTCGTTATCAAAACTTTAAACACCAAACTTCAGAAAGTTTATGAACTGAGGCCAAATCAATCCAAGGACCCAATTAGCATCTATCCATCTCCCTGCAGTCACTTCAGTGTGAGGGAAGAGTAGGCTGCTCACATTCTCAAACACACTCTATGGGACATGGTGGGAGTTAGAAATAGTACTGTCCTACTGAGGTCATTTGATCGGATGTTAATCAATGCCCTATTAAATAAGAAGTGGAGCCATGAAAATTACTTTCTCAATTGTCTACCCCGAAGCCCCACCGACTAGACCCAGTCTTTCCACATACCACTCCCATTGGCCTATGAACAAGGAAACAGGGTATCTATCAAATGACCAAAAAGGCTATTTTGTTTTGTGGAATTAGAGGTAACCTCAGGGTCTCACATATACTAGGCAAGCACCCTACTGAAGCTGTATACCCAGTAGAAAAGCTAGTTTGTATACATGAATAAATAAAAAAAAATAAAAATAAAATTTTTTTTATTTATTATAGAGAAATAAAAGCATAACTTTCTCCCATCTTCTATTCAAGTCTTTGGAGTCTGCACAGTGAGTTCATACCCCCACTTTCACCCAAAACATCCTTCTAGATGCCCCCTCATCGTCCTGCCATCCGTCCCCAGCGAAGAAGCCACCCTTGTGGCTCCAGGAAGGAGACTGCATCTCCATGATTAATGGCCGTCTCTTCATCCTGCGCCCTGGTCCTGTGGCCTCTCGTAGCCTCTGTAAGAACAGGACTGGCAATAGAAGGCCAGAAGCCCAAAGGTAGCCACAGATAGATAGCTTCAGCTCCTGGCATGAAACAGAGTCAGGCAGGCTATTTTCATTTCCTATAAGATTTGGAGAAAACCAAGGTAATAAGGGGGAAAAGCAAGAGGAATAGAAAAGAGAGAGAAACTAAAGCTTTGTTATTTCCCCAGGCGAGATATGACAAGGAACTTGTGCGATAAACAATGGCAACCGAGTAGCTGAGATTGAAGACTGGACAAAACCACTCAAGTGTGTACCGCCAGTCACTGGAGGCGGTTCCTGCGGCCCTTGCTCAGAAACTCCTGTACTGTGGATCCATTTGCGATTTATAAGAAGCTAAGGTGACGGTGGGTAAAACACCAACTTTTTATTTTATTTTTATTACATTTATTTGGTAAGGGCAGGTTTGTGTGTGTGTGTGTGTGTACACACATGCGCACACAAGCGAGCGAGTATGTCCTCACACACACACACGGCAAACAAGAGGAGGAAAGAGGACAACTTGATAAAGTTAGTTCTCTCTTTCTACCCTGTGGGTCCCAGGCATCCAACTCGGGGCAGCAGACTTGGCAGCAAGCGCCTTTACCTGCTGGGTCACTTGTACATCCTAACCTTAAAAATGATCATAATGTAGAAGCTGTTCTATCAAGTGTTACCACAGAAGGCTTTCTGTAATCTTTACCATAATCCTCTAAGATTGGTTTGCTTATCCCCTATAATATAGAAGAGAATTTGGAGTCTTAACAAAGGTTAGATAGGTTGCCCAGAGCTATACACAG